GAAAAGGGAAAAGGGAAAATCAGAAGAAGGACGGACAGAAAGGGAATGCATATATATTCTTACGATCTCTTCCTGTATCTCGCGTTTCAATGACGGCCGCGACGATTCTTCTCTGTCGCTATGCTCTCCGTCTTCTTCCTCCTTTTTTCCCCTCCCTCCTCCTCACCCCACACCCCTTTTCTTTTAAATGGAATCCCGTTACAGTTGTCGCGCCCCGTTCCCCCGGCTAAACACGCGGTAATTAGATCGGACCGCGGGAAAATCTCGCGAACAAGCTGGAGACGGAGCGCGACCGCGCTTATTAATTTACGGAGCCGCGTCAGCGAACGGTCCGACCGGTTCCGTCATCCGTGGAATATTTCCGATTGTAATGCGGCTTCGCGACGACGCCTTCCGAGGCGGCTCGCGATCCTCCGCCCGGATTAATGAATTATTCACCGGAGTCCCTTCGTAACGCGTCGCGACGCGTTGATCGGTCGCTGGGATTTGCATCGCTTTCGGAGTGCCGATGAACGGAAATTACTGAACGCCGTCTGCTCTCTGGTTAAGTTGAAACATTGTTTCTCTACTGGTTTACCGAGGATAGGATCAGATGTAACTAGATTCGTTAGATTATCATAGAAATCAGCATTTCGACTGTGGATATCGCTTCATACACCACTTACTCCAATCCATCAACTGTTCCAGACCTTCCCCAGCAACGTGTTAATATCTAAGCCAATCTCAACAAATTCGTGGCTAGTCTGAAATACTCAGCCAGAATTTCGCATTGAAAACGGCAAGCTACGCTTGGCAGCTCAAATGCGCCGATCGTTATCAGTCTCCGGTGTAAATTCAGTGTTCGGTACTTTAGATATCCATATTACATTTCACGGTGTTCCGAAATCACGAGGCAACCGTGTGGAGAACGAACACAGGATCCCTAGGTGCTGCCAGCGAATCATTCCCAACTAAAACACGTCCGACGAGGAAAGTTGCAGAAGAAATCGCGGCGCGGCGGGTAAACGTAAATGCGTCGCGGCGCGGTCGCCCGTCGGCCGCCCCCGGAAATCGGTTTACGGTGACGGTATCGCTGGCTCCTCAGCTTAAGACACTTCCGCGTGCGTGGCGCGGGGTCCCGGCGCGGAACGAGCCGGGGCAAAGAGCCGGGGCAAATTCGCGGAGCGCCTAATTCGGATAATATTCTACACGGGAATCCTTTCTGCTGAAATCTCTTCTCCCAGGAAATGCTATTACCGTATCAGTTTAAGAGGAGAGCCCGGCCCGGCCCGGGGAAGGGGGTTGCGCACGGCGGATGGAGCGAGGGACCGAGGAGGAGGCGAGCGTTAAGCGCCCGAGACGCTGCCGAGGAGATTTCCGCAGTGCAAGCTTTTCGTGTACTTAGCCGACCTTGGCAAGACCAAGACCTAGGCTGCCGCTCGGATACCGTAGGCACCAATTTAATAATAAATCAAACCTAGAAGTTGCGCTCGCTTCCTCCGCGTCGCGCGCCGCGGAAGACGCTCGCCCCCCGCCGTCCCCGCGACGGAGGCGAAACGGCCGGGACAGGTGCCCGTCCCCCCAGGGAGCCTTAGGCTCCTTAACTTCGGCTACGCCGGTGTTTCCATCCGCTGATGTATTATGCACCCGGCCGCCCCCGCGTCTAATTGATTCTTTCCTACTTTCCGTGCGCCCTGACATCCGATCCTCCTCGCGGCGAACTTCTGGGGCTTGCCTCGGGGAGGAATCGGCCGATACTGATTTCGGGGAGTTTCGAATAGGGAATCGAGTTTCTGTTTTCGGCGTGGTTCGTTTAAACGAAGGATCTTCGAGATCTGTTCTTAGGGTTATCAGTTAGTTCACGAAGGCGATTAGACTCTTGTTAAACGATCTACCATTGTATTTACGAAATCCGCAGCTATTGTTTGAGAGTTGCGACGACTGCGATCAATAATTCGGCAATATAAACGACAACCGTCGAACTGCGAACCTCCACGTGCCGCGAAATAAGCATAAAATATGAATTCAATAATATCAACCGCGGTGAACCGTCGATGCCCGGAAAACAAGCCGGAACTTCGTTCCGCAGGAAAACAGCAATTACCGCCCCCTAATCCGACGAGGAACAGAAATACGGTGTCGGAACCCCCGGGTTCGATCGTGTTTTGATGCGCAGCGGCAGAGTGATCAGACCGGGCCGGCTGCCACCCCCGTCCACCCCCGAGACCGGTGCCCCGTGAAAATCTTCCCCCCGGCCCGTGGCGCGCCGGTAATGGTGCATACGAGTGGAACTTAATCAAATGGCAAACGGGTGGAAAACAAGCAATTGGAGGCACCGAGCCGGCCGGGTTCCAGTGGGGCCGTCGCCGATCGGAAGGGGGGTGTAAATCTGATAAAATCATCTCGAACCCTCTCTCTCTGCCTCAGCCCCTTCGTCGGTCGCTCCTCGCCAGATCTACCCGATACGTAAGAGCCCCGGGTCCGACCCCGGTAACGTAAGTAATGTAAGGAGGGTGGTTGTTGCTACGGTTGTTATTAAATGAGACAGCCTAATAGGCCCATTACGGACCCCCCCAGGTCCATTCCCACATAATATAATCCTCGCCGCCACGCGCTACGGCCGCTTCTTCCCTTCGCTGGTTCGTCACCCCTCCCTCGTGTATCTTGATCCGGAGAGCACTCACGCCCACGAAAATTTCATCTGCGCCGCTGTACCGCGGCCTCCTACAGCCCTTTGTCTCGCCTGACTCCGTGGCTCTTCTAATTCTGGCGTCGAGCACCGGCCGACGGGAAACAGGATCCTTCGGGTCGTCGACGACGGACTGGCGGGTTTGGGGAGGTTTGAGATTTTTTTGGGAATTAGGATCGTTGAGAGTGTGGAAGTGATTTTGGGTGGAGGGTTAGTATTGGAAATGGTTGTAGAGGTTATGAGTAGGTTGGAGTTCGTTGAACGTTGTTTGAATTCGAGATGAGGATAATTGTTGGCTTAGTCAGTGGAGAATCGATGTATACGTTTGAGAATGAGAGGTTGTACTTTGTTTGGATTGTTGAGAGTGTGGAAGTGTTTTTGGGTAGAGGGTTAATATTGGAAATGGTTGTAGAGGTAGTGAGTAGGTTTGAGTTGGTTGAACGTTGTTTGAGAATTCGAGATGAGGATAATTGTCCGCTTAGTCAGTGGAGAATCGATGCATACGTTTGAGAATGAGAGGTTATACTTTGAGTATGCGATTGTTGAATGAAGTTTGAGAGAATTGGTGTGAACACTGTCGGTTCACATTAAATAGCGAAATGCTAAATGTCGGAATAAATAGTCTTTAATCACAGAGATTCTTAAGCCATCGATAATGAACATCGAAGAAGTTTAAAAAGCTCTCGGACATATTGGAACATCGTGAATCGTTCTCAAAAATAAATAAATAAACGGAACATTGCCAACGAGAAAGGAAAGATTCAGGTTCCGATATCATTCCGGGTGTTGTCGATTAGGCCGATTAATTATGGCAACGCGCGGTAGTCGATGAAATAGTTATCGCAAATTGCCCGACACGCATTGCGCTACACATGTATATAAAATTGATGGCGATCGTTAATTCCTTATTAGTAAACATTGATAGCTCGATTGAATAGCGGCGATGCGTGCGCGCGAAATCCTAGTTTCATCAGATAAATTATGCTGTGTGTCTATGCGCCGATAAAATAATCCCGCTGTGATCGCAAGTTATCCGGCTCTCTATTGAATCTGCTTTTCATCCGAGCCAATAGAGTCGCGGGGCCGGTGTAAACGTGTAACAATTCCCCGTCGTTTTAGGGGAATCACGTCGAAGGAAGGAAAATATTGCAACGATAGGCGCGGCGATATCGCGAGCGTCGGGAAGCGCGTACAGTCGTTCATTGTAGCTTTCAGGTCGCGTTGCGACGGGTCGCGCGCGGGAGTGCTAATAATACGCCCCGAGGAACAATGGCCAAACGCTATTGAATGATTGATCAGAATCTAAACAAACGACCGGTGGTTTTCGCGCGGACAATGGCGTGAAAATCCGTGCGGGATTAATTGCTATATCTTCCGTTTATACAGTTTTTGTTGCCCTTCGACCCTTTAGTTCCGAGTTCCTTGGTCCTGTCGCGACTTGAAACAGTCGTTTGCACAATCACGTTGGCACTACGTGTCTGTTTGCAACGGTAGAATGATTAAATGCTTGAGTTTCTTTTGATAATGCGTGTGATCTGTCGTCGTTACGGATAATTAGTAAACCATGCTTGCGAGAATGGAAAGAGGAAATTAAGTGAAGTTTTCCGGACTAGATTTCTCATTTCTGCAGTCCGGCAATTACAGTACTTTCGTTATTAAATGGGATGATTCATTTTAATGTTGGAACATTATTCTTTAGAAGTATTACATGAATAGGACCACGGAACACTTTACCTTTAAAAATGTAAACACTCAGGTTGATTCTGATTCGAGCCCGCTTTCCTTCGACAATTATCAATCTAGACTGAAGATACTCATCCCATAGTCGGTCTATTGTCAACAATAGAAGAGCCACAAGTAAACGATCATCTCGTCGAGCAATCTGAATCGAAATACCGCTTGAATCGAGCAATTCGGACACCGCAGGTGATTAATCAAACTACCAGCTGCCCGATAAAATCAAATCGATGTAACCTTTCACACTTACGAGCAATACGATCCTACCCGAAGACATTCGCGTTACAATCAGGCCCGCAGAGGCAATCGTTGCACCAACAGTCGACAATAAACAATCGTAACACCGAGTGAAAAGTTGCAGCCACCCTAAAGACTAATCTCCCAGACAGTCAGTCTATACGAAATCAATCCGAAAATGTAGCTAACCATGATAATCTCACCCGGAGCCTCTCAAAGCACCCAGTCACCAAGGATCAACAATAAACAACGATCTGAAACGAGCGCACCTGTACCACGTATCGAACTAGACATACCGACCATCGTCCACTGAGAATCAACGAAATTCCAAACCGGACCGGAAGAGAATCAATCGTACCTCGACAGCATCGCCAAGTCCGCCGACGCTTGGTGTCCCAAGAGCGGGTTGGCGGCGGTGTCGCTGGGCGGCGAGAACGTGGACGCCGGGCTGGTAGCACTGGTAGCACACCCGATACCGATACTCGTCGAACTGTTCCTGGTCTCGATCGGGTGTCCCACGGCGGTGCTCCGTTGGTTCGCGGCGAATCTCAACGGCGTGGGCGAGGACAATCCCCTGTTCGGGCTGTCGCAGGCGGATCCGATCCTCTGCGAAGTCTGCGTCGGCGGCGAGGCTCTGTCGACGTCCGACGACTGCCTCTCGCCGGAAACCGTGGACGTCGAGTCGACGGGCGGCGACTCGGGCCTGCCAAGGATGCTCGATATGCTGAACGAAGTGTACTGGGGATTGCAGGCCGGCCTCAGCGGCGGCTTGCCCATGTCGAAGCCGAACGAGTGATGATTGTTCAGGCCGCAGCCGGTCTTGCCGTTCTTCTCTTGGAGCAGCAGCTCGGCCGGCGTCGAGCTGCTCCTAGACCCCTCCAGCTCGAGATCCTCTTCCGACACCACGGACACCTCGATCTCGGTCTCGCCCGACATCGTGGACGCGCGCCGCTCCGTCCAACGTCCCGAGCACGGCACGATCGGTCCACCAACGGTTCGATCACCGGTAGCAACACACTCGTCACCTCGTCCACTAACGACCGGACCTGGTCAGAAACGGTGCTCCGTCGAGCAGATGAGGGTCCAGGGTCTATCCGACACGCGGAACGCCTCCGGTCCCCCGCGTCGCATATCAGACCGGTGCACCGGGCGTCTCCTAGACGGTCCGCTGCTGGTAACGCGCGGCGGCTCGCGACGCCTCCGTCGGCCGGTGGTGGCTGGTCGTCGTGGATCGCGGACGGATCGGTCGATCGCGCGACATTCGTAAGCGATACCCTGGACGACAGGATGATACGG